CCCGCTGCCGGCCCAGCTGCGGGAGGGCGTCCCCAGCCTCCTCGCCCCCCGCCAGCCCCTGCTACCTGGACGTCCTTCACGTCCTGGTGGCCTACGTTGCCAGGGAGGGAGAGGATGCTGTCCTGGCCAAAGCCCGTGGAGCCACGATAGTTCACTGGAGGCCAGGGAGGGACCAGACAGGGTGGTCAAGGGACAGTCCCGCCCCCTGGACACTGTACCCCGTCTGTGAAGTAGGCCTTGGGGCCAGCTGCACACTGTAGGGGGGAGGGGCTGAGATTCGAGGCTGCTGCCCAGTGAGCACTCCCTTCCCTGGGAGTCCCAAGTGAGTCTCTGACCCCCTCGCCCTGGAGCCAGGCCGGCCCGGCAGCTCCTGGGAGTGGTTACCAGGTCCGGCTACAGCGACGCCTGCAGACGAGGGTGGTCCCTGTGGTGCTTGTACAAACCAGGCCCCCCATCCCCCCAGCCCTGCGGGAGCTGCGCGCCCGGCACTCACCTAGCAGCACTGCGAAGCCCATCTTACAAAGCATGGCTGGGAACAGCATCCAGGCGGTGACAAAGGACGAATGGGGCCCCCCTGCAGGCGGGGAGCAGGGGGTGAAGAGCCAGCCAGGAGGGATGGCGGGCGGGCAGGGGCTCTTAGGCCAGGTGCCTACCGTGGGGCATGACCACCATGGGCACCTGGGTCTTGTCGGGAGGGTTGCTGGGCTGCAGAAGGATTGCTTCAAAGTCAAGGCCAGCTGCGGGGAGAGGCAGCCGTCAGCAGAGCCGGCGGGGCTGCCCCGGGCAAGGCCTCGCTGCAGCTGCAGCTCTGGGGCTGACCCCCAGAACAGGCCTGGCCACGGCCCCCACACGGCGACACGGACCCAGGAGCCCCTCTGCCAGGGCCGCGTTAGGGGCAGGGATGGTCACAGGCCGTGTAGGGGCCTGTCTTTGTGCCCTGGTTCCCCACCACAGGCGACTTGGCCTGGGGATTCCACGCTGACACCCAGACCAGGTGCCCAGATGCCTGGACCCCGTCCTCCCCGCGGCTGTCCAGAGGGGAAGGAAAGCCTCTCGGAGAGAATCCCAAGACCCCCCGAAGCCGGAGGCAGGAAAGGGGGGCAGACGCTGTGCCGGCAGCTGGGGAGGGGCCGCGCCCCAGGCTCACCATACTGCACGTTCTCCTGCTCCGGGGGCGGCTGCAGCACCCGGACGCCCCAGGAGATGTCGGGAATGGGCTCGGCCTCCTCCAGGGACACCCACACCACCGACCGTTCCTTCCCCGGGGGAGGCAGGAACCCAACTTTCTGCCAAGGGGAAAGGGTGTGTCACAGGGCCTGGCTGCCTCCCTGCCCATCACCTCTGCTGGGGGGTGGGGGTGGGATGGGGGGGGGCAGCTCTCTCAACGCTGAGCCGTCTCCCCCTCCAGCGGGTGTGGCACGGACGCCCACCGTGGGCTGGTCCATACAAAGGCACGCACACCCCTCCTCGGCTTCGAGGCACTGTCTCCCTGCGCTCTGTTCAGCCAGAGGCCGGGGCGCGGCCCCAGGAGCCCGTTCTGTGCAGGGCAGACCCAGCGGGCAGTTTGCGGACCACGCTGCTGGGTCCACCTGGTGACCAGCACAGACTCGGGCCGGTGCTCTGATCCGGAGCTCTGCCTGCACAGACCCTCTTCCTGGCCTGGCCTGGCCAGGGGCCCCCAGCACTCACCAGGCTCGGGGGCAGGCTGGGCGTGGAGAACTGTGCCACCATGAGGTCCCGGTCCATCGTGAGCAGCTTCCAGCTCCCTCCTAACCCCCCTGCAGAAGGCAGATGCCACTCAGCACCCACAGGGCCACCTTCCCACCCCCTCCCTGCGGAGCCAGAGTCCCTGGCGGAGGCGCGACAGCAGGTGCCTTCCTGCCCCGGGAAGCGCAGGGGTGCCCACCCGGGACCGTCCCAGACCCCCAAGTGCACGGTCCTGGGCGAGCCTCCTGCTCAGTCTGCTGCTGGTTCTCGGACACGGGCTGTGCCCAGGGACGGCTCGAC